GGGGGAGGATGGACACAGGGATGGACCATGGCTCAGGGAAGGGTCAAGTCACTGCTTCTGCCTCTGGAGCCGTCCTTGGGGTGGTGGGACCCGTCTCTCCTTTCTGAGACCCGTGTGTGGGCAAGTCACAGAATCCCAGATTGATGTGGGGTGGGAAAGGACCTCTGGAGCTCATCTCCTCCAACCCCCACCCAGAGCAGGGGCACCCAGAGCAGGTCCCACAGGAACGGGTCCAGGGGGTTTGAATGTCTCCAGAGAAGGAGACTCCACCACCTCTCTGGGCAGCCTCTGTGGGGGTTCAACCTGGAGAAGAGAAGGCTCTGGGGAGACCTTCGAGCCCCTTCCAGTCCCTCAAGGGGCTCCAGGAAAGCTGGGGAGGGACTCTGGATCAGGGAGGGGAGCCATAGGACGAGGGGGAAGGGTTTTAAGGTGAAAAAGGGGAGATTGAGGTGAGATGTGGGGAGGAAATTCTTTGGTGTGAGGGTGGTGAGAGCCTGGCCCAGGTTGGCCAGAGAAGCTGTGGCTGCTCCATCCCTGGAGGGGTTCAAGGGCAGGTTGGAGGGGGCTTGGAGCAACCTGGGCTGGTGGGAGGTGTCCCTGCCCAGGGCAGGGGGAGGAATCAGTGGCCTTTAAAGGTCCCTTCCCACCCAAACCGTTCCATATGTGATGATTCTGTAAATCCCCACAGTCCTGGGGGTCGGGAAAGGGGAAGGGGTGCCCAGGGAGCTCTGCTGGCCCTACAGCTGCCCAGCCCCACGGCTCGGGGGGGACGGGGGGATGAAGGGGGCTGCCGCACGCCCCGGGGCAGCTCTGCTTCCCCAGCCGCCAGGAAGGTGTGTTTAAAGACCCTTTCCCTTTCTTCTCGGAGCCCTCTGTGAGGCTTTATTACCCAACCCATAATTGTCACCTGCGTTATTTTAATAGCTCGCCAGCTGCAGGTGTTGCCCAACGGGGGACCGGGCGGATGGAAGCCATTGGGAGCAGTGGCGGCTGCGCACCCGCATCCCACCCCATGGCAGGGGCACGTGGGGACCCCCGGGTGCTGCCGGAGGGGCCACTCAGCCAGGTGGGCACTTGCCCGGGGCTCCCCTGCTCCGGGGAGTCACCCTCAAACCCTGCCAGCTCCCTTGTAATTCAGCTCTGCCGCTGCAGCTCGGCTGCCCCGTGGTCCGTGGGGGGACAGCAGCGTTCAGGTGGGACTGGGGGGGATGCCGGAGGGGCCACTCAGCCAGGTGGGCACTTGCCCGGGGCTCCCCTGCTCCGGGGAGTCACCCTCAAACCCTGCCAGCTCCCTTGTAATTCAGCTCTGTCGCTGCAGCTCGGCTGCCCCGTGGTCCATGGGGGGACAGCAGCGTTCGGGTGGGACTGGGGGGGACGAGGAGCCAGACTGGGTGTACTGGGAGGCACGAGGAGGGCAGGTAGGGGCTAGGAGATAGTGCCCCAGGGGCCATCATTTGGCTAAGGAGTGCCATGAAGCTGCTCTGCTGGCAGCGGGCTGGGGTCTCTGCTGGGGGTTTGGAGATCTCTGGTGGGACATTCCCCTTGCTCTGGGAAGCACTGGTGTCCCCAGATCCCAGCACAGGTTGCCAGCCCATGGCCAGCTTTTCCCACCCCTCCAAACCCCCCCCAAGCCCTTCTCAGCAGGGCTGCTCTCCATCCCTCCACCCCCAGCCTGGGCTGGGACCGGGGTCACCACCACTGAGAAGCAGGACGCTGCCCTTGGTCTGGTTGAACCCCATGAGGGTCAGATGGACCCACCTCTCCAGCCTGTCCAGGTCCCTCTGGGTGGTGTCCCCTCCCTTAGCCGTGTCACCACCCCACACAGCTTGGTGTCACCCGCAAACTTGCTGAGGGTGCCCTCGGTCCCCCTGTCCAGTCCCCTCCCTTAGCCGTGTCACCACCCCACGCAGCTTGGTGTCACCCGCAAACTCGCTGAGGGTGCCCTCGGTCCCCCTGTCCGTGTCCCCAACAAAGGCATTAAACAGCCCCAGTCCCAGTACAGACCCCTGAGGAACACTGCTCCTCACTGGTCACCACTGGGACATCGAGCTGTTGACCACAACTCTTTGAGCGTGGCCACCCAGCTGGTTCCTCATCCACCCAGTGGTCCATCCCTCAAGTCCGTGTCTTTCCAGTTTAGAGACAGGGATGTCAGGCGGGACAAGGACGTCCTGCTTTGCTGGCCTTCTGTCAAACGCTGCCCCATCTCAGGAGGCTGTTTCCGTGGCCGGTTGTTGCCGGGGGGCTGGTGGCCATCCCCAGAGCGCCGTCGGCAATTGCTTTCAGCTGCGTGACGGGCCCTGCCCGGGTGCAGAGCCATTTTCCACCACATATTTGCTCTGTGAAGTCACAGGTAGCTCCAGGATTCACACACGCGTCTGCCCACGTCCAGGGTGTGCTGCTGGCTCGGGGGGGGGACGAGGAGACGGGCTGCAGCTCTCGGCAACCGCAGGACTGGCAGCGAGCCTTGGGCAACCTGCCCTCACCCCTCGGGGCCGCTCTTCATCTGGGAGGAGAGCCATAGGACGAGGGGGAAGGGTTTTAAGCTGAAAAAGGGGAGATTTAAGTGAGATAATTGGGAGGGAATTCTTCCCCCTGAGGGTGGCGAGAGTCTGACCCAGGTTGGCCAGAGAAGCTGTGGCTGCCCCATCCCTGGAGGGGTTCAAGGGCAGGTTGGAGGGGGCTTGGAGCAACCTGGGCTCGTTGAAGATGTCCCTGCCCAGGGCAGGGGGGTTGAAATGAGATGTTCTTTAAGGTCCCTTCCCACCCAAACCATTCCATGATTGGATGGTGCTAAGACCACCTTTGGTGGTGGCACTTGACCAAAGACTGGTCAGTCTGGCTGGACTTTAGGAGGGCTTTAAAGGTCCCTTCCCACCCAAACCCTTGGGTGATGTGATGATTTTGTGCGTGTTTTCCTGGCAGCTCTCTCTGGGAGGTGTGTGCCCCGGGAGGGGGGCAGGGGGGTGGCAGCTCCACCGGGGAACGGACCCAGCTGCTGCCTCCGCACTTGGCTTTGCCACATCCCGGTGCCGCAGCCGGCGATGCCGGGGAAAGCTGCGACTCTACCTGTGGAAATACATCAGTGCATCCCTTCCCGGCCGGATCCGCAGCTTTTCCCAGCTCTGCCCACGCCCGGCAGCGGCCGAGCCCCGCGGTGATGAGCCGGGAGAGGAATGTGTGGCTGGAAGAGGCCCCACGGGATCCGGTGGCCGCATCCCGGCGCTGCCGGGCTGCCAAGGTATGCGCGGCGAGCCCTCTGCCAGGGCCCGAGCCCTCCTCTTCCTCCTCCTCGCTGCTCACACCCGTGCCCTCTGCACCTCTCCACAACTCCACCGCTTCCCTTGGGATGCTCCGGCCGTGCCGGCACCCCCGGGGATCACCGGCTCCGTCCCGCCGGGCACACGCCAAGGCCAGTGGTGCTGCCTTCCCCGTGTTTTCACGCCCCCGAGCAGCTGTCCCCTGTCCCTGCGTGACCGCCGCGGCCCCGGGTGGGTGGGGACAAGTTGGCAGCGTCCCTTGGAATCGGTGAAGCATCATCTTAAGCGTCGAGTGTTACGACCTCGTCTGCAGGGCTCGGGAGGACTCCGCCGAATCGAAAAGTTTTCCTCCCCAGCGCCTCCAGATTGCGTTTCGAGGGGATCCATCGCTGCTTGTGTCCGCCTGCGAGGCAGGGGAGGCTTTCCAAACCTCTTTCTCCAGCTTCAAAACCGCTAATATTGAAATTAAAAATATAAAAATTTCCATCTCGGTAAAGCCAAGTGCTTCCAAACCCTTCCGTGAGACCCCCCTGCACCCGGCCGGGCTCCCTGCAAGTCAAACACCGGCCCTGTCAAACCAGCAGCGCCGCGTTTTGGGGGGTCTCGGGGCAGTTCCCCTCTTTTGGGGTCACGGTGGGTCCCACACACAACCGGGGACAAGGTGTGGGGGGGTTCCTGGGGGTCTCGTGGCACCGTCTGACACCTCTGTGACTTCCCATCTTCCCAGCGCTGGCAAGGGGTGCCCTGCTCTGCTGGGTCCCCGTGTGTCATGGGGGGGCTTCTCCCCCTTTGTGAGGAGCAGCACTGGCCGTGGCCTCCTTCCACCAGCCCACCGCCCCCATGCCCTGCGCCGCCTCCCTGCTTCCTCTCTGCCTTTAAATTAGATATTAGGAGGGAATTCTTCCCCCTGAGGGTGGTGAGAGCCTGGCCCAGGTTGGCCAGAGAAGCTGTGGCTGCCCCATCCCTGGAGGGGTTCAAGACCAGGTTGGAGGGGGCTTGGAGTAACCTGGTCTGGTGGGAGGTGTCCCTGCCCAGGGCAGGGGGTTGGAATGAGATGGTCTTTAAGGTCCCTTCCCACCCAAACCATTCCATGAGTCTGTGCTGATTCTTTCCTCTCCATCCCTCCCCCACCACCGCATCCTCACCCCAGCCCTCCTGGGGTGGCCAGTGCCCTTGGGCATCCCCTGGGGAACCCCACTTTTGGTACCCAAGCACCCCATGTTCCTCTTGCAGCCCGTGTCTGGGGGGGCTCGGAGTTCTGAACCCTTGGGGGGCTCAACCTTTGCTCCTTTCTCTAACCCCGGGACGCTCTTTTGGTGACAAAAGCAGCATCTCATTGCCCTGTGGAACCCGGGTGCCGGGCAGCGCCGAGGTCCCGGGGTGACTGGGAGTTAATTTCTTTCCCCGGGAAGCTCAGCTCAGCCGCAGCATCTGGTTTTCCCCAATTCCCTGTTTTTCACCAATTCCCTGCTTTTTATCCGCTCCCCCAGCCGGGTTTGAGAGTGGCACGGGGGGGCAGGGGGGAAAAGGGGGGTGGATGCTCACCCCAGGCCACCCTGTGGGAAGGGTGAGGGGTCTCCCCCCACGCCGGGACCCTGCTCTGGGAAGGGGGACAGGCCGGGGGGGGCTGCGTCTCGATGGCTTCTGCAGGGTCGGTGTGGAGAAGCGGTGAGGGTGGGGGTGAAACCAGAGGTTTATTGCTGGAAGGAAGGAAGCTCCTGCCGTGAGTCTGAACCATATTCATTTTTAATTATACAAATTGCTCAGGCTTTATATTATCACATCAATGACATGAAACACCAGCATGTATTGATTAAACTCGAAAGGAACGCAGCACCCCGGGACTCGAGCGGTCGGGGGATGGAGTGGCTCAAAGCTGGAAGGGGACGGGCAGAGCAGGGCCTTTCCGTAAGCGGTTCCTCCGACGCTGCTCAAGTCACACCTGGGATGGGGCACGTCCGAGACGGGGGGCAGGGACCCCCCCCCTTTTCCAAAGAGCCCCGGAGCAGGTCCCCTCGCCCCCTTTGTCTCGCCGGGCAGCGGCCGCCTTGCCTGCGCCGTGACGGAGCGTCCCTGCAGCCGGCGCTCCTCCAGCCATCCCGCCATAGTCCTGCCGTCCCCCGCCTCCGTCTGCACCTCCTGTCCCTCCTCACCCCTCCGTCGGGCCGGGAGGACACCGGGGTGTCCGGGTGAGGGTCAGGTCCTGCGGGGTGACGCCGTGCGGCTGTCCCCGGCAGCAGGGTGAAGGCAGGAGTGTCCGTGGCTGTGGTTTTGTGTGTGTGGCTTTTCCATCCTTTCCTCCTTCTTGCTCCTCCTGGTTGTCCTTCCCACCAAGGATGATTGTCTAGCTCCGGATCGCCGTCTTCCTGTCTCGGTCTTTACTCTGCAGAGGAGGAGGAGGAGGCCAAGTTAGAACAACACACCTGGGGCTGGGAGTTGTGCCAGGACAGCAGCTCCAGCCCTCCCCACCATCGTGCCTGGCAGCTCCGCTCCCACGGGTCCAGCTCAGGAACCATGGGGCAGCTTTACCCCGGTGTCACCGTCACCCTTCCCTGTCACCATGGGGGTCCGGAGGGGTCTGCAGGAGCAGGAGCTGCATCTGCCCCAAAGCTCTGCAGGTACCTTCTCCCTTCCACCCGCTGCAGTGTGTCCCCACCACTGTCACTCGCCCGGCCGCTCTGCTGAGGTCCTGGGGACACTGATCCATCCCCATCCCTCTGGGCACCATCCACAGCCTGGGGGGAACCTTCCTGCTCCATTGCAGACACCTCCTGGCCAGCCCCTTGGTGACAGCCAGGCTTCCAGTAAGGCTTTGCTCCCCGGGCACCAGAAAAGCCCACCACCAGCACCATCACTGCCACCATCACTGCCACCACCACCACCATCACTGCCACCAACACCACCATCACTGCCACCACTGCCACCAGCATCAACACCACCACTGCCACCATTGCCACCACCAGCACCATCACTGCCACTGCTACCAGCTCCACCACCAGCACCATCGGTGCCACCACTGCCACCACCATCAGCATCACTGCCACCACCAGCAGCAGCATCACTGCCACCATTACCACCATCACTATAACCATAACTGCCACCGCTACCACAGTCACTGCTACCACCAGCACCATCATTGCTGCCACCACCACTACCAGCACCATCAGTGCCACCACCACCATCACCACCACTTACCACCACTGTCACTGCCACCACCAGCACTGTCACTGCTACCACCAGCACCGTCACTGCCACCACCACCACCACTACCAGCAGCACCATCACCACCAGGACTAACACCCCCACCACCAGCCCCACCAGTGCCCCAGCCAGGCGTGCGTGGGCAGATCCGGGGCTTCTCCTTCCCAATCTGATGGGATTCGTGGCCATCTGGGGTCTGACCAGGTTGGGTGCAGGTCTCTGCCCCCAGCGACCAGGTGCTCGGTGACATTTCCACCTCTCCTCCGCTGGCCCGTGGCTCGCCGTGGCCCAGCCTCCCCCCCCGGCTGCACGTGCGGCCCCTGCTCTGACTCTTCCTTTGTTACCGGGGGTGGGGAGGGGAGGGGAAGGGGAGTTCAGCTCAGAAACGGTAAAATTAAATTTCCCAGATGTTCAGGCCCCAGGAGTTCTTGTGCTGTCTGGAGAGGAAATGGGGATTCGGAAAATCCCGCCTCATATTTTTTCCCCTATCACCTTGCCTTTCCGCTGCCATTAAGTGCAGCAGGAACAGTAAATTACGGGGCTGCGGAGCCGTCCCATCGCGTAGATACCGGGGGTGGAGGGGGGGGGACGGCGCTGGGGCGAGACGCTGAGGTCCTCGTGGCTCAGGACAGCTCGCCCTCCCCTCCTTGTCCCCATCCCCGTCCCTGCAGTCCCGTGCTCCCCCCTCACCTGCCGCCCCGTGCCCAAATTATGGCTTTTTCACACCAAACCTGCCGGCGCGTCCAGCCTCCGGTCCCCTCTGGCTCCCACCAAGCCCTGCCTGTCCCATGGCCTTGGTGGTGGCCTTGGTGGTGGCCCAGTGACCCTGCTCTGGCAAGAGGGACATGGAGAGCCTTGGTGGGGGTGACACAGAGCCCCCCCAGGTCTCCTGGCTGGGGAGGGGGTGAGGGCAGGGGCTCGGCCATGGATGGAGGGCAGTTTTCCCGGTGCTCGGAGCAGCCGGAGCGTGGCTGGGCTCAGCCCCTCCTGCGCTTGCCCTCGGCCAGCGTGGCACTCGGCGCCATGGGAGGGGTGGCTACCAGTGGTTTGGCTACGACAGCAGTAAAACCCAGGGGTGCGGGTGACGGAATCGCCTGGTTCTGCCCCAAAACCCTCATCCCGCTCCTTCCCCCTCCCGGCGCCTCTTTGCCCCCGACATGAGTCCGTCGCTCGGTGTGGAATCAGGGTCGGGGCTGCCCTCAACACCCTCTGCCAGCGCTTTGCCTCCCGGGGGATGGGGCACGATGGACCCTCTCTCGGAGCTGATCCCACCCGAGGTCCATCCAACAGACCCCCCACCCCCCGGGACCTGGTGCTGCTGTCGGTGGTGGATCTGCTGGATCCAGCGTACCCCAGCACCCCCACTCCAGGAATGCCTGGTGTGGTGACACCGATCGCGCTGGCAGGGCTCCCCACCAGCCCCACGCCCTTTGGCCAAGCCCCATGGGTCACTGCAGGCCACCCAGACCACCCCATCTTCCTCACCCCCTCCCCAGGTCCTGGTCTCACCACAGGGGAAAACCTCTGGTCCCCCTGGTGCTCTGCTGGGGGCTCTTTCTCCCATATCTTGGGACCGGAGCTGGTTCTGGGAGATGCTCTGGAAGAGTTTGCTGCGGGGCTCCTGCCATACTTGTCCCCCCCAGGCTGGGACAGGCGTTGTGAGGGAGCTGGGGGGCTGCAGAGCCATCCTCTGGGAGATGGCAAGTCATGGACCCACATCTGCCCTGCCTTGGGGGTGGGGGTGGGACCTGGAGCTGCTCCTGTCCCTTGCACAGAGTGATCACCAACCCCCTGCCCTTGGATGCTCTGCTGCCCCCGCGGCTTGGGAAGGGACCTGGTACCTGTTGGCACCTCTCCTGCCCCACGGGTGATGTGGGGCAGCCCTCCAGGGCGCGGGCAGCCTTCACTGACACCCCTTCTGACCCCCTCGAGGTGGTCTGGGTGCCCCCCTCCCCGCTCTGCTTCCCGTGCCAGCGCCAGCTCCCGCTCCAGACGGCGGAGCGGCCGGTGCTGGACACTCGTCCCTTGTCACTTTAACTGCTGGTGGCTGCTGGGGGTGACATCCTCCCCCTCTGCCCCCCACGTCTGGTGTCCCCAGGCCCCACTTGCCCCTCGGTCCTTGCCAGGTCAGGGGGACGAGCGCTTTGTGAGGGCTGTGCACGCAGGGGACACTGCTGGTGTCCCCGAGCCGTGGCTGGGACCGGTCGCTGGAGGAGAAATACCCTGGTGTTTGCTGTGTGTCCTGCTGGGGACGATGACACAGGCAGCAGCCACAAAGGACAATCTGGAGAAGCCCAAGCCCCTCCACGGGCTGGCCAGGGACGGGGTGTCTGGGCCACCACGGCCCCGAGTCCCCTCTCCCGTATGGGAATGGCATGATCCTGCTCCCGAGCAATGCTGGGGACCGTCCCCTCCATCACCGCCACCCGCTTGTGGCAAGTGAGATGCCCCTGCCAGCACGGTGTCCACCTCCCTCCTCCTCACGTCCCAGGTCTTGTGTCCTCCCCCCCCCAAGGCAGCTTTGTGGCCACTGAATTAGATGGGGAAGTGGCCCCAGGCTCAGCCTGTCTCCGGCGGGCTTGGAGGTGTCCACCGGACACCAACACACGAGTCCCACCTTGAGAAGGGGGCCCTTTCCAGGGAGATGGTGTTGGTTTCAGCCTGAATCGGGAAAGTCCCTGGGACGAGGCGCCGGGGGGTGCCAGGGGAGGTGAGTCACGCGGCAGGAATCCGGGCAAGCCCCTGGGCTCACCCACTGGCCACCAGAAGCCGGGGAGGAGGCGAAGGCCTGGCTGGGAAGGGTTTGCTGCCCCTTGGGGTGCCCGCAGCAGCCGGCGTCCCCCAAAATCCCACCCCAGCCCTCTCCCCTCTGGCCAGGAGGAGCCTCTGCCGCCCCCGTCCTCCCCTCCCTGCAGCGGGTCCTGGGCACGGCGACCACAAACACACCCCCACAGCCTTCCCGGGGCTCCAGTGCCACGTAGGTGCCATCTCTGGAGCACGTCAGGCTTTTAATGAGGGGAGACGTGGCATCATTTTCCCCCGTGGAGCCATGGGCTGGGTGCGGAACCCCCCGGCACGGCCAGAGGCTGCAGAAGGGCTGGGATGGCACATCGTGGGGGCTTTTTGGGAAGGAGGAGGTTTTTGGGAGCCCCACAGGCTGGTCCCTTCCCACCCAAACCATTCCCTGGTTCTATGATTCTGTGACAGAATCGTGCACCATCAGGTCACATTGTTTGAAACAACATCGTAGAATCATGGAATGGTCTGGGTGGGAAGGGACCTTAAAGCCCCCCCAGTGCCACCCCCTGCCCTGGGCAGGGACACCTCCCACCAGCCCAGGTTGCTCCAAGCCCCCTCCAACCTGCCCTTGAACCCCTCCAGGGATGGGGCAGCCACAGCTTCTCTGGCCAACCTGGGCCAGGCTCTCACCACCCTCACACCAAAGAATTTCCTCCCCAGATCTCACCTCAATCTCCCCTCTTTCAGTGTAAAAAGTCACTAAATGTGAGCAAAAAAGCCTTCTGACGGGGATGGATGGGCTGGTTTGACCCCAGCACCCGGCAGCACAGGACCATTTATATCCTGATGGGATCAAGCTGCTCTCCCAAGGAGGAGAGCGAGGAGCCGAGCTCTTTGGGAGAGGAGAGGTGTCTTTGCCTCCTTCCCTCCTGGGATGGGCCTCTCCGAGGAGCCTGTTGAGCTCCTGAGCCTGGGGTGAAGGGCTGGAGCTGCCACCACATTGCCGCTGGGTCAGCTTTGGGCTCATGGGCATGAAGGTGGCTTCTCCTGGCCAGGACGGTGGCCACCAGAGCCAAGGAGGGTCCCTTCCACCCAGCGCCGAGCGGGCGGTGAGATCCCAGCTGCGCTGTGTTTGCAGCTCCGGAGGAGCTTGCTTTCATTTCCTCACCGTTTGTCAAAATACCTTTTATCCTGATAAAAGAGGGTTTATTTTATTCCTTTAACACACAATAAAACCCGTGGAGTTGTTATCTGGCTGTAAAACCTGGAGCAGGGTCTGTTCAGTGCCCCCTCCCCAGCCTGAGCCTCGCTCGGCTCATTCCTCAGCCAAATTAAAGCATCTTGACCCCTGGGACAGCGCAGAGCTCCCACCTCCGGGGGGGGGTTATCCAGAGGGGCTGCAGGAGGTGGGGGGACCTGGGAATTCTGCCTGGCTTGGCCCCT